ACCAAATTTTACAGGGTACTTTTTAAAGCAGTCTGGTGGTACATATGGTAACTGGAGTAACCCTGAACTTGGATCCAAAATTACCCACGCGTTTGATGGATTAGGAACAGTGGCATCGTTTAAAATGCGTGATGGTATGGTGGAATACGGAACTAAGTATGTTATATATCAATCGATTCACCCACATTCTCTGCAGTAATAAAATGATTAAATCGCGATTAGGTCTCAACTAGCGAGTTAACTTGCATTGTCTCGTGTTAGACCAGGCATCCTATAATGACGCGTGTTTTGTTCTGAGATCGCAAGATTGAAACTTAACAGCAACGTTTTATTTATTCCTGATATTTTGCCCCCATATTTTCGTTGTTGTTGATAGTAAAGTTAGATGAACATGTCAAAAAATAAATATGACTTCGATTGATGTGACAGAATGATAATCGATATGTCACGATTTAAAATTCTTCTTAGAGTTGTGTGAGTGTATTGCTCAATCATTTAGTTACTTTTTGATATATACAAATTGCAAAGTTCATTTTGGAATTCACACGCAATTCATGAATGGATGGCAGCTTCTACAACACCTTGCCTGTACAATTTTTACGATATTGTGTTGTTCTCTTTTATGCTCAATATCAATAATATCTATTTATATTCAGCCTCACGTCTTTCAGGGTGTATGTTTGAAATCAAATCAAAGTATAAATTGATAGCTTGAATGGTAGTCGTCGCGCCACGCATACACGAGATATGAGTCGCACATGAAACAAGATGGCGATTTTGACTATTGCGCAGATCAACGAGTATAAACAAATACGTTTCTAAGCTTTAACTGTACAATTTCCTTGGTGGTTGGAAGGTAAAGAAAGAGTCACCGGTGGTATTTAGTGCACGTTGCACCCAGGTCAAAAATAGTACTGGTATTTTTTTTAGAAAAGCGCCGTGGATTCTGGCTAAATCAATGTTTATCAACACAAATGTCACACATACGCGGTGTAACCTTCCTTTAACACAACTTTATCTAACTTGAAGAAAATCTGATTCTGGATAAATACAAAACTATTACGTAACAATAAAAAATAAATTGTAATAACACAGTAAAAATATAAAAAAAACATCAAAACTGATCCATTATCACAAGCTGTGAATACTATGTGTCAACATAAAGCTAGATTTATGCTATTTGTAGACAAATTTGCAGGCATTTTCTGTTCAACCGCATTACATTGGTGTATGTTAATTTTTTCCAGATTTTATTTGACTCAAAGCTATAAAACGTGGGATTATTACGAGTGGGATATGGACGTATCTAAGGTCGCCTGGGCAACGACGTATTCTCCTATTGTATGTATAGTTAAATGCGTAGTTAGTTAATGCATAGTCAAATCGTATCTGAGTGAACAGGAGTACTCGGTCACTTGAATTGTGATAGGAATTGAAAATTCATTAAAATAAATCGCACAGCCTTCGTTATACCAGTAAAGTAATGATGTAAATTAGTCCAAGTGACGCATGCGCAGTTGACATCATCGATATTCTTTTCATTTGTAGTCTTCATTCAATGACATTGTTAACTGCTTTTTACAGATTTGATATAGTCGATTTGAAAGAAATGTCCCAC